GCCGGAGTCGATTACAGCATGCGCCCTTTGGCCCAATTGATAGACTCATCTACAGGTGCTCTATCAGGAGGTGGATCGGTATAACAATCTCCTTCTAACGTTGCACCACTCCTTAAGAGGCCTCGAGCTTGGTGTGCAGGGATTAGTTGTCGTGACACCTGAGCTCGAGGATGTCATGGAGGCCTTACTCGAATTCAAAGCTGGCTTCCTTGTCGCATAGTGCTTTCATAGTCTCATTCTTATCAATATAGGTGCCAGGTGCTTGGTCAAGGTGTTACCCCAGTCTAAAACCGCTTAGTTCGTGGATGCGGGATCTCGTAAGAGCACACTTCCTTTCCGGAAACCTGAGTTGTGAATGAGTGACAGCCGATTGATTTCACTCGCAACAAGCTGATTCATCTTTGATTCTCGGCTGACTTTAGGTGTCTAGGGTAGATCGCGCTTCAAAGGTGGATTGATGAGGCTCTTCCACGATGCTTCTGGCTGCCTGGGTTCACATACCCGACAGGCTTCTTGACTGCATTGCTGCAAACCTCTGCACGGAAAAACGGAATTGCGATCGACACACTCAGCTGGGAGTTTCCCGTCGTGAATACCTCAGCACCCTCGATCACTCAACACGCAAAGGACGGGTCATATTGCTATGGCTTGTTCCTAGAAGGTTCACGATGGGATTTTGACAATAGCTGCCTGACCGAGCCAACTCCGATGGAGCTTTTTTGCTCCATGCCAGTGATACACTTCAAGCCTGTCGAAAACAAGAAGAAATCTTCCAAAGGAATGTATTCGTGTCCCCTCTACATGTATCCCCTGAGAACTGGGAGCCGAGAGCGACCATCCTTCGTCATTTCCTGTGACGTAAAAAGCGGCGTACAAACATCCGATTATTGGACGTTATCTTCGGCGTCTCACGAAACAAGATACATTTTTGAGAGAGAATTTCGAATCGTTTGCATATGCCTTTTCCAGGTGTCGGGGAACTGCGATGCTTCTCTCCACAATCTACTGAGTACTCGGAACCGAATCATTCTCCTCGACGGCTTTGCCACAACGTTGCTGATAGTTGCCATAGGTTGCCATAGCAGCACCCTGCTGGAGAGCCTTGCGACTTCAAAGCACTGCTCGGGCACCCTGGGGGACCAACAAAAAAATGGAATGCAACATTGCCCATACTGAAGGCAGCTCAGGAAATAGCGGGGCTCCGTACTATTAGCGGCCACGTCTAGGATTTCCTTCCTGACTTGGCCCTTTTAACCCCGGCTCTCTATCTCTATATCTCAACGACTATACTACAGTACAGTACGCTACTCTACTACTACCCTACCGCTCTTATGCCAGTACTGTACCTACCTTAGTTAGGCCCTCCTTCCTGTTCCTTTCCTTTATAATCACTTACAATATGATGACTGAGCTGCCCATACGGAGCTTGGGCACTAGAAATAAATGGCTAATTTCGCAATGGACGCGCCTCTACGATCCCTGCGACTGCATCTGGCTCGAGGGAGGGTGTGCGTTGGCACGATTTTGGAGAAGAGTGGTGTACGAGGATACGCGGATGCGGTATCCTCTCCTTTCTTTCTCTTGCACACTTTTAGTGACCGAGGAGCCTGGGAGCGCGATTGCAGCTCACAGCTTAGTGTTACTAGATCCCCGCCGGTTGGTAGGGCAGTGTAAATATCTACCTTTCTAGTATACAGTGAAGGCTTTATTCCCTTTACACACTGAGCTTCCCCTCTCTCGGCTACTACGCTCATCCGGCTTCTACGGACTGCACCTTAACGTCAAATTAATGTACGGGGCTTGGATTCTGTACGGCATTGGGTGTACATTAGCTGAGCATATATCCCTGTCGATCGGATACTACTATCGCATTGCTCGGACTGAGATGGACTGGTCGATTGCACGCGTTCAGAGATTCGATTTGAAATAAATCTTCCCGGATTCCAGGAAATGGACTTGGACGTATGTGTAGAAAAGCTGATGGAATGCCGACCTTTGACAGAAACAGAAGTGCGGCAAATGTGCGCATGCGCCCGCGACGCGCGCCGACGCGTCAAAAGCTCCCCTTCTTCCTCATCCTATGTCCTAGGCGCTCACACGCGATGCAAATGTACGGCGAGTTAAATCTCCCGTCACGATCGTGGGCGACATTCATGGCCAATTCCACGATCTCTTAGAACTGTTTCGCATCGGGGGGCATGCTCCCGACACCAATTACTTGTTTATGGGTCCAGAACTGGTGTCTGTATTACTTGTAGAACTGCGTTTTGTAGGCGACTATGTTGACCGTGGGTACTACAGCGTCGAATGCGTCACAGTACGCGCAGTGTCTTGTATGAAGTCTTTTTCTCTTGTGGGACACGCATCTCACAGTTGGTCGTGGCACTCAAGGTGCGGTTCCCCGAACGTGTTACAATCTTGCGCGGCAATCATGAATCGCGGCAAATAACGCAAGTATACGGCTTCTATGATGAATGCGTTCGCAAATATGGGAATGCTAGCGTACGTTTTGCTTCGTCGCTACCGTAGATTTTGGGTCAGCGTTTCACAAACATCAGGTCTGGAAGCTGTTCACCGACCTTTTTGATCATCTTCCGCTGGCGGCCATGGTCGATGAGCGCCTTTTCTGCCCACACGGCGGACTATCACCAAGTCTAGACACGGTAGACCAGATATTAGCATTAGATCGTGCCCACGAGGTTCCACACGAAGGTCCTATCTGTGATCTCATGTGGAGTGATCCTGATGATCGCCTTGGTTGGGGCATTTCCCCGCGTGGTGCAGGGTATACATTTGGCCATGACATCTCCGAAAAATTCAACCGTGAGAACGGATTTGATTTTATCGTTCGAGCTCATCAGCTTGTCATGGAAGGCTACAACTGGTTCCATAATGAACGCCTTGTCACTGTCTTTTCTGCACCAAATTATTGCTACCGTTGCGGCAACATGGCTGCAATCATGGAGGTCGACGAGCATCTCGCATCAAACTTCATTCAGTGCCCATGTGCTGTGTCGCTTCTCACCTCCAGTGCCTGAGAGATGCCTCAGAAGTCCCAAATAGGTTTGATCCGGCACCACGGCGTGGCGGCGATGGTGGCCTTGGGATTGAAGTGTCCCGGCAGACTCCCGATTACTTCCTATAGGGTGCTCACTATCCCGGTTGCTGGCGTTTTTGCTAGGATAGCCGCCATCGAGGTTGCCAAGCCCCAAGAAAAGGCCCAATGCGCGCGCAAATAGCAAATAATTCCCGGGGGGAGCACGGCCGCGTAGCGGCCGTACCACGTACGTCGTTGAAGGGTCAGTTTTCGGAGCCCCGGAGGGGCGACGACTCCTGCGGACGCGCCTCCCAGGCGCGTCCGCAGGAGCTTTTTTCGACCGCGCGGGGCTCCTAGATGTCATTTTCCAGTAGAGAATCCGCATTGTCTTGGTTTTCTGAAACCAAGACAGTACGGAGTTCATATCGGCTACTAGTACGATACTGGCGTGTGCTTTATTAGGAGGGCGCGCGTGCGCTGGTCAATCGCGCTCGAGTCTCTCTGGTGTAAAGTAGAAAGCGTCGAATTTCCCGCGTTCGGGGCGGGTGGGGTTCAAACTAGAAAGCGTCGAGTTTCCCGCGTCGCCCCCCCGCTCCGACCCCCTAATTTGTGCGGGTGCTACTGTAGTCGTGCTGATTAGGCGCTTGACGCCAAGGACGCTCGTCAAGGAGTATGTAGAAAATGGCTGATTGAACTCTATGTTCGAAACCGACAACATTTGACAGACGCGTTCGCTTTTCTTAGCCACTTGGGAGCTGACCAAGGAAAAATTATACCATTCGGAGTTGATAATCTCCATTTTGAGTTATGTAGCGCACCCATGGCAGAGCTTGATAGCCACTTTTCTCTATTATTTTCAGGTATCGGACTTGTATTCCGGAGACTGTGAAGTAAGGAATTTCGAATTTGACTTCGATCGGTGCTTTCCAATGTTCAGGGTCCTCACTGGACACTGAAGGAAGTCCAAAATGTGCTCGCATCAAATATTCTCTAGCTCCGTTGAATTGTTTGATGCTCCAGACAATCACGTTACGATCGGGCAAGTAAGTTACTGTGCCTATACTTGATTTAAAGGAAGGGGAATCTACATCATGTGGAACGGGAATAATGATGTCTACGTTATTTGCGACCGAGCGACTCTTAAACTGGCTCTTTGCCTTGATCATGTACTCAATTCGACTGTGCGAATGGGGTTCTACGACTGCTTCTACCCAGATGAGAGGCTTGACATGGGTGGAAAGGCGGTAAGTCATCAGATCAAATTCTCCATCTGGGGGTATGAAAGATATTGTACGGTCGTTTTCAAATCGAGCTAATCTCACACATTGGTGAAATTTGATGTCTTCAAGCTCGACTGCTTTCCCGCGCGTCATTGGACGACCGGTTGCCTCAAACATGAGCTTATCATTTAGACCCAGCTTCAGCTCAGGCATGCCACTTAAAAAGGATTTCATTTTGATAGCACCAATAATCTCGGAGTTCAACACAGTTCCATTTCCGGCGACCAACAAATTTAGGCGCTCAATAACGTCCAAAAATATCTCATTTTTTCGGTGTTTGATACCCTCGCTGCGCCACGACACAGCATTCGTAACCGCAATAGGGGGCCTTGGCGCAGTTTCGTGCCTATTACTTTCCTGAGTGATAAACCTAAATAATCAACCGATGGATCTTCCCTTGATCTATCATAGTTCTTACTCTCTCAAAATTTTTGAGTCCATTGCCTGAGGATAGCCGAAGTCCATTGTTTCGTCCATCAACTCATAAATAATCACAAAGTTGTCACGAATGCTTTCTTCGTCAAGTTCCCCGAAGTAGTCTTTGAAAACCTATAGATAAGATCGAACACAAGGTAAGCACGTTCTGACACCGAGGCGCGCCGTCACTAGGCGGTAGAGGTACATGAGAAGGAGAGCGATATTAGAGTTGCGCTTAGTTACACACATGAGAAACAAATTGTTGTGCTAGCAAATACAGTTCGTTGTACTGCATGTTTACAGATGTGTTACCTTGGTGTAGGCGAATGTAAAGCCTTCATCCGTGAAGATTGGCCTTTGATCCATTTCATCGTTTTCTTGCAAGTACTGCACAAACCTGTTGGGACGTTCTGCAGCGGCAAATACAACCGAGCTTACCTCTCAGAAACAGACATAGGCACATCGCCACGATAGTTGCGACTGATTATCACCCTTCCTTTTAGATCCATGACGAAAATGCACGAGAGCGTCATACCGCAAACACAGCGGCACTACTACAGGACAATCCGAGGTAAAAACCGGTCTTTTTTGGCGAAATTTGACGGCTGGAGGGGTCCAAACGAGCGCCACGAGCGTAGAGATGGCCGCGAGACCTCCCGATTTCGGCCCTATTCTGCGAGAAATCCGACTGCAAGAACGTGATTGGGCGCGCGGGAAGTTTGAAATGTCCGA